CGGCTGCGGTGGAGACGGCGTCGCCCGTCGTCACGCACGCGGAGGTGGGTGCTCCCGAACAGAACCTGGTTTCTGACGCTGTGAAAACCGAGCGTGAGATGCCTGTGACTCAGGTAACGGAGGTGAAACCTGCCCTCAGCGCTGGGGCAGCCGTGGAGAGGAAGCTGGACGCAGCTGGAGAGATGAAAGCAGCAGAGTCTGCGCTCAGAGCTGGAGGAGCTGCGGAGGAGGACTCCGAAAAGCTTGCGGTCAAGACTGGGGCGGAGACAGAGAAGAAACTTGAAAAATTTGTGGCCGGCGTTGAGGCTGCTGTGGGAAGCGCTGCGAATGCTGTCAGTGAGAACGACGAGGGAGGTTTGATCAAAGCACACCAAGCTAAAGGACCGGGACCAGCAAAACCTGATGAAACCTGCAGAGCAGTCGCGTTGGGCTCCTCTTTATCTGTCGCCGAACTTTCCTCGGTTGGTAAAATCATTTTAAAGGCGGTGGTGTCCCTTCCGGATATAGCAAAGTCAAGGGCTCTGGCACAGAGAGTTGAGCCTGCCCTGTGGAAAGCAGGGGAGCAGAAAGCTCCCTCCAAACCCGAGGCCCGCGGCCAAGCAGCGGTGGAGAAGAAGACGGCGCCAAAAGACGAGGATCACCTGCGACCTGGCTGCAGCCAGCCCAGCCTGGGAGACGGCAGCGGCAAGTGCAGAGTGAGCAGAGCTTCTGCTGTGGATGGAAGGGGAGGCAGTGGGAGGAATCCGTCCCAGCAAGAGAAGGACTCGCGAGTGGAATCTAGGGCTAGTTCAAAACAGTCTCAAGAGGGAGAGAGTAGATCCCCCAGCGTGAAGAAAGACCCCGGCAGCGATAAGGTGAGGAGGGCAGGAAGGCCGGCTCAGCGTGCCCGGTCGGTAACTAACTCCGCGCTTCTCTCGGCTGTTGCGTGCGGGGAGAGACGAAGACGGTCCCCCTCCCCCCCTTCCCGTTTCTGTAGGCCCCCCAGCTGGGGTGGGCCAGCAGACGAGGTGGAACGGCGAGATGGTGGGCGACCACCTGCCTTTAGACGCAGCGTGCGCGACGCGGGTGCCTAACTGGTGTGAAAGCGCTCCTCAGGGGGGAAAAAATGGCAGGAAAGCGAGTCTTAATGGTTGAACATCGTCACTTCATGTGCTTGGAGTGGTTCTGAACGGGAATTCGTACGCTTTCTGTCCGTCTGTGAGCTGGTGTCTGCTTTGTCTGGTCCTGCAGAGGCTCTGAGACGAGGCCGCTCAGCGAGGTGCTGCCACGGACTCTGTGCCTGGGCGCTGCCGCCCGCGGTTGCGTGGTTCGGCGTTTGCCGAGCACGTGGACAGGAGCAGCAGTCTGGACAACTTTAAAAAGTTCCTTAAGGGATAAAATAGATGATTTTTGGTTTTTTTAGTGTTTTTTCTCTTGCGGACGGGCTGGTTGAGTCAGTTGGTTTCATGTGAACTTCTGTCTGATTTTGCAGGCTCCTGTTGGTGGCAACGCGAAAACTTCAAAAAGTGACGCTGGCGGCAGTGCGAAGGAGGTGAGGATCGAGCTGGAAGTGAGAAATAAAAAAGTCAGGTAGTTTTGAAAACACATGTGTGTGTGCTAAGAATCTTCAGCGTCCTCCCCTAGGGAATTTTTTATATTACCAGTTGTTAGACTGCGGGTGTAAAGCTGTGAAGTCACGTCATCTGGGAGAGAAACTTCGCTCAGGAAGTGAGTGGTGAGAGGAGGGGGGGTTTGGTCTTGGATGTCATTTGTTTGAGAGAGAGAATTAATTCGCTGGATCTCCACTTCCCTGCCTGAGCTCTTGGTTCATCACCACACCTGGGAGGAGGAGGGGAAGGCTGAAGTCTGCTGGCTCTTTCTAAATGGTTCTGTACACCAGGAGGTAGGCGGAACGTCCCCGCCCACGGTACCTCTTCGGGGCGAAGAGATTTCCGGGGGGTTCCGCAGAGCGGGGGCTGCCTACAAATATCTGCAGGGTGGGTGTCAGGAGGATGGGGCCAAACTCTTTTCAGTGGTGCCCAGTGACAGGACAAGGGGCAATGGGCACAAACTGAGGCACAGGAAGTTCCGTCTGAACATGAGGAAGAACTTCTTCCCTCTGAGGGTGA